CGCTGGGGCTCATCAGCCTCGTGCCCCCAGTACCCAACTGGATCAGTGCCCTCGCCCAGCCCCGACGCCCAGGTGATGGGCTCGTATCCCCCCCAACCCCCTACCCCGCAGCAGCCGCCCTCAGCCCGGGGCTCCCCCGGGGGAGCAGAGCCCCAGCGCCGGGTCCCGGGGTCCCGCTGCCAAGGGAGGGGGAAGCGCTGGGCAGGCGGGGGCACAGGACAACGCTCCTGCTGCACAACGCCCTCCCCTCTCCTGTCTCTGGGAGTGCAGGTTTCCTACCTCCCGTCACCAGAGAGCCTCATCAATCATGTTCCCTCTAATTAACTTCTAATTTACCTCTTTAGTCAAATCTGTTTACAATCGGAGACAAGAAAACACGACCCAGCGAGAGGTGTGGTGAAGACTGGTCTCTCCCTGCACGCTCCGCTGCCTCCGTGCCGCAGCCCTGCCTGTGCCTGCCGCGCGGGCAGAGCACGGGCAGCGGCGGGGGCATCACCCCGTGTCCTGCCCAAAGCCCAGCGGGCGCTCCCTCCCCCACTCCCAAACCCCACAGTTATCCCAAGAGCCAACAGGGTCAACAAAATCAGAAGGGGTTAAACCAGGGAGCAATCCCCACCGACCACGCTGCGTTAAAACCTGTTATTAGCTCAACCCTTTAATCCTCCCCCAATTACAGTAACGACGTTCTCCACAGCTGCCGAGGCTCGTGGTGCCCATCCTCGTACCTCCAAGGTTTTTCTGTGCTGCTCAACATTACGGCAAAAATGAGCTGGCCTGCAGCAGCACATTAAGCTGAATAATTATCTTAATTAATAACAGCGGGCCCAGGTGGGCATCCAGCCCATCCCACAGACCCAGGCAGGGCTCTGGCACATCCCAGCAGCAGGGCTCGTGCTCGGGGCCCAGCGGGTGCCAAAGGCTCCCCCGGCCGCGGGAGAGGGACGAAGCGATTCCCTGCCCCGGGCACCGCCCCGACAAAATGTGCTTTGGGGAGCCCAGCTCAGCTCCCGCCGGCCCAGACCGAGATCCTGATTTATTGGCCATCACCCTCCTCCAACGCACCTCCCTCCCCTCGCCAAATTTCATGATTTATCTGCTGCACGTGCTCACGGAGCGGGGATTTATGCAGGCAGGAGCGGCAGCGCAGGCCCAGGGGCCAGCCCGGGGTAGGCAGGGGTGGGGGGCTCTGGCCACCCCTCTGTGCTGGGTGCTGGAGAGCAGGACCCCAGCGCAGCACCGCGGGTCACCCACACCCATCATCAGGCCCTGGGGACACCAACGGGGGGGTTGTGCTTCACCAGGGTTTTGTGGAAGATCCCGGGTTTCACCTGTGCCAGGCAGGGCCGGGGGCCGTTTCCAGGCCTCCAGTACGCTGGGACGACCTGGGAGGGGGCCCTGACTTGTGTGCAGGGGGGTTCCTCCCTCCCGAGCGAGTCTGGGACTCGGGAGAACAGTTCATCACTGAGCAGCCGACCCTGCCAGGCGCAGGCAGCACCAGCCCCCAGGACAACGCTGAGCCCGTCCCCGGCACCAGCCCCCCCCATTCCAGCTGGGAAAGTTGTGACCCTTCTCCTGAGCTGGGACAGCACCAAGCACTGGCACCCGGAGTGACACTGGGACCCCTCTCTGCTGTGCTGGGAGTCCAGCGAACCCCCAGGGCACCCCACGGCACCCCCGGGCACCCCACTTTCGGTTCCTTCACCCCGTCCGTCAGCACGAATACTCGCAGCACACGTTCACTGGCACAACCCACAGTGGCAGCGACTGACGCTGAGCAAATGCAAAACCCCAGGAGAGAACAACCCTGGAAGAACCCGGGGAGAGTCGCTGGAGCTCGGGCTCGGTCGTGTCCCCGCGGACGGGCTCTGCCAGCAGCTCTCAGCCGGCAGAGCTGCAGCTCCCCACGAAGTCGCAGGGCACACACCACGTTAAATCACCGCCGCTTCAGCACCGATTCTTTCAGCCAACTACCCAGAGACTTAAAGGATTTGGTGAAGTGCTTTGAAGAGCCAACAAATTACAAAAGGAAAAAAAAACAATCAGAGAAAAGCTGCCTTATACAAGAGGAACATTCATTAGGAGCAGGCTGAGCTCCCACCAGCAGCGCCGCGGCCGGTCGCTCGAGCTGAACGATTCCCAGCCCAGTGTCCGCGTTCAGGCACCGAGCTCAGGACGGAAGCGGTAAAAGGAGAGAGAGTGACCTCCCGAAAGCAAAACTCCAGCTGAAGCAGCAACACGGGCGAGGGGTTCCCGCTCCCACCCGTCACCCGGGAGGTTTCTGCCCCTCTGAGGGAGCAGCGATCCCGCACACGGGGCCAACAGCGAAAGGTTAGAGAAGGTGCGGTGCCATGTCAAACTTACCTTGCACTCACGCAGTTTCTAGCACTATTTCAAGACCTTCCCTGCTCTTTTTCCCCTCCCGAAGCGTGGCCCCGACTTCCCAGTCGAAGCCGTTTCTCGCCCATTAAGTCTCTCCCCAAGGGAAGGGGGGTTCTGCCCCAAACCCCCTCCTAAACAGCAGCTCATCTTCCAGGGGCAACACCATGACCAGCCTCGCCTGTGGGGCGGAAAGGGAACGATCCCCAGACTCAAGTGAAGTAAAAGCTAAACGCTTCTGAAAGACGCAGAACACCTTTAAGGAAGCGGCTTGAAAACAGAAGAAAGAAATTAGGAATTCAAACGAGTTCTGCACCAAAAATGTGGTTTTGCAGCTTTTTGTGGCTGCTGAAACCACGACGTCCATGCTGATCCCCTGAACAACAGCGTTTGATAGCACCCAGGCCAGCAGTGCCTACACCGTCATGACTGAAGGAAGCCTTTAAGCTTCCCTGACAATGCATTTTTCTTGGAGATAAAAAATGAATGCTGCCAGCATGCAAATCTCTCTAAATTAGGCAAGGCCCAGCTTGCTGGAGCTGTGATGTTTGGCGATGACAGTCATTAACTTTAGCAGAAGAAAAGAGGATGCGAGGAAATATTCTCAGCTACTTTTTGTCCCAGTTGGGAGTCGCCGCCCGGCACAGCGCGGGCCTGGCCCGCTGACATCGGGAACTAACTGCGAGCACGGGAGCGGTACAGAAGCGGGAGCTGCGGGGCTGTTCCACTGCCCGGCCGGGCGGAGGCAAACCCTGGGCCCCCCGCAGCCCCCCCAGCTCCCCGCGGGCGGGGCTGTCCCGCACCACGGCCCAGGCACTGCTGTGACCCGAAGCCAGAGCCCCGCTCGGGAATCGGGACCCCGATGTCCCGCAGAACGAGCACAGCCGAGGCCTCGCTCGAGAGGAAGTCAGGGGGATTTGGGCATTTGCCTGCTTCCTCGCCTTCCCGCCCAGGTTTGAGCACAGCTGGGAGGGCTGAGGGCTGGCTGGCCCCGGCCAGAACCTGCCCCTCACCCCGACCCACCTTCGGGAAGGTTCAGCAGGACCAGCTGACGTGGCTGATCACGCTCACCCTCTGCCACGGAGGAACGGCTGCGCTGGACACAGCGACGCCTCAGCCTCCCCAGTTTACGTCAGTACAGTGGATTTATGTTTTCATTAATGTATCAGGCTGGAATAACTTGAAAAACAATCTCTTGAGCTTCCAGGGCTCCTCTTTACCCTCCCTCTAACGCACAGACTGGTGTCTTGTTTCACACCCATCACTGCAGCTTGATGGGGGGGTAGGAAAAAAAGAAAAAGAAAAAAGGAAAAATCTTGAGCTGCCCTACTGCTTGGTATGTGGCTGCAATCCCACTCACAGCAGACTACTTCAATAAGAAACAAGGAATTAAAAAAAAAAAGCAAACTATCTTTAATATCTCCAAAACCCCGTTTAGAAGCAGTTTCACAGAAACATCACTTTCATCGTGCGATCAAGGCCGGAGGGCAGCAGGAGGAGGGAGAACCAGGCGCTGCGTCCTCGTGGGCAGACAGGGAATCTGGCCCCGGAGTCCTCAGAAATTCTCCAGCAGATCCAGGATCCGCTTCTGCTCGCTCTCCCGAAACTCCTGGTTCTTCCCATCCCCGATGTTCTCCGCGTACTCTGCGGGGGGAAGCAGACAGACAACAGGCTTTGAGCGAGACACTAATGAACGCAGGGCAACTCCTCTTGCAGATACTGCCGCAGAATCTAATCCGCGTCCACTGCAAACAACTAACGGGAATTTATGCAGGAGCAGTGATGGCTTTTCTCCCCACCCCCAGGGTTAAAGCTTTGCATAATAAACATCTACTGCCCCCTCATTAGCAGCTGCTGTAGCAAACAGCCCGGAGCAGAACACCGCTCCTCACAGCCCCGGTACCACCGGTACCACCGGTACCACGGTACCACGCTCCTCCCTTAGCGCGGCGGAGCAGCCACGACACTCAGAGCAGTCCTGGGCAACGCGGGCTTCTGGGGTCGCTGTTAACGCTGAGCGTGGGCAGGAAGTCAGGCAGGGGCTGATACACAGCGGGCAAACATGCCCAGCCCTGGCTTTAAGCTGCCTGTTGGATTTTTGTCAAGTAGAGACCAATACCTCAGTCTACAAGTGCTTCTGACCCACGCAGAAGAAAACACACCAGATTTAACTACAAAAGCAACTCCTTGTCTTCGGGACCCTGAGCAAGGTCTGGCCCATCCACGCACACGGCCAGACACCGTGGAACCAGAAACTCCCTCTGCAGCTCTCCCTCCTGACACTCCCCTACAGCTGGCAGCTCTCCTTCCCGTCCCAGCTCCCTCCTTCCTGCCACCAGAACCTGCAGATTCAAAGATGGTTTAAAAAGAAAAAATGAAAAGCAGGATTTGAGCTGCGAAAGCAAGGAGCTGAACAAATCTTAGTAAATCAGGAGCAGACTGCCTGGTTAGACAGTGTTTTCCAGCCTCCGCCTTCTCGCATTCTTCCCCTTCTTCCTAAACAAACAGAACAGCTTGTATTCAGCATCTGAATGGCAAGTTGCTGTAGAAAGTTTGCTTTAATATTTATACGTTCAGCACTGCTACATGCTTCTGAGCTCCATCAAAGCCTTTATTATAAGAGCACTGAAAAGAGTGAGGACAGGGAGAAGTTAGCTGATGTGGGAGTCTTCCCTCCTGCATGCACTCTCTCTCCACATACAAGAAGCAGCATTCCTTGCCAGGGCCTCCGGGAGAAATCCTTTTAATATTTATAAAGTGCTACAGTACCTGTAACGAGAGCAGGCGGGTAATGCTGAGGTTCGCTGCAAGCGAACCCGACCTCCTCGCTGTCCTGGAGAGGGGGGCCAGCACAGGGCGCTCTCCCCTCGGATGAAGCTGCCATCCACCGCCCTCCCGGAAGGCAGCAGCGAGGTAAGGGATGTGCTGTGCTCCCTGCCGCTGGCTGGCTGCCCCGGGACAAGGCCCCGGCAGCGGTTTGCTCCTCAGCAAGGGGCTGCGCCACCGGCCCTCGCAGGGCTCCTGTTCCAGCCGCACGTGCCCGGGGACTCACTCTCAAGGATGAAACGTTCCTTATCTCTGTTAGCACCAGGTTTTCCACCTACCATTTAATTTTGTGTGTGCCGTCAGTTCTGCTCAGGGTGAGCAGCTGCAAGATGGGGGAATCCAGTGGCCGCTTCCAGGCGGTGACACCACAGAGACCCCGGTGGCACCGTGGCCACTGCGATCGGAGCCTGGCGTGTGCGTGGCTGTCCCTGGATGCCGATCTGCCGGGCGGCAGAGACGAGCCTGCGGAGCTGGAGGTCACAGAGAAGCTCCGAAGAGCTGGATGAGAGGTCGGAAGGGTCGGGGGGGCCCGGCTGCAGCAGTGGCACCTCCCGGGGGTTGCCCTGACCGGGGCCCCAGGAGGACCCAAACCCTGTGGGGCAGCTGAGAGGATCCACTCGCCACGGCCGGAGCACAGGGACCATCCCCGGGGACACGGCCCCGGCCCGGCACCCCCCAGGGACACCAGAACCAAACCGAGAGGGGTCAGTCCTCCGGCTGGCACCCGAGCGCCGCTCGCCTGCGCCCCGACGCAACCAACACCCCGAGTTTTCTCTGGCTGGTGGAGCTGCCCAGAAACAGCTCCTTCTGCTCAAGGCACCCAAGGAAGAGAACCAAACCCAAAACCCGCCGCCACTGAAGGGCTGAGGGTCGCCTCATCTGCTATTTTGAAATTCCCCTTTCCAAGGGTTTGCCGGGGGCACCCCGAGGCTCAGCACCCCCAGCTCTGAGGCACAGCAGCAGGTTTGCTCCCTGGTCCCTGGTGCCTGCGTCCGCTCTCGGCCCCGGGGTGGCCGGTCCCGCATCCCCACGAGCTGCGGGGCCGGGCCCGGAGCTCTCCTGGGGCCCATGAGCCAACGCTCGAAGCCGCGGCTGCCCGGGAGGGTGGATTGGGTTGTTCATCTCTCTGACGGGCGGAATAAACACCCTCCACATTGATACCGAGCTCATTTCTGATACTTGTTTAGAGACTTGACAATCCCCGTATAAAAGGATTTCCTTCCACAGCTGAAGTTTGACATTCCTGCATTATTAGATTATTTGCAAAGGTCTGCGTGCG